AGCGCGCAAAGCTTAATGGGAACACAAGTTTCGAGCTTATATAGTATACAGGGTGTCTAAAAAAAACGCTACGGAAATTCAACAGACTGTTGTGCATCACAAACTTAACTAAACAGTTTAATTTTTACATAGGATGAAAGAGCAATTATTCAGCTTTTCTATGATACCTTTCTTAAATCGTAACGATGAGAAATGGCCACATACTCGTCAAATAAAAATTGTCGGTCGAAATCACATTCTTCCACCGTTGGGAATTGAAAGTACATTAATTATGCAAAGTTAATCAATCCAAAAGCAACGCTAGCCTTCTGCAAGGTGACTTGTTTCGTAAAACGTTTTGACTACGAATGTTCAGTGGTTCAGTTCATGTTTAATCTAATAATGGACGTTCTTATGGTCTCACTGAGACAAATATGGCCGAGTTCAGCATATTTTAGATAATTTAACATTCAATTTTGATTCCCTCTTGGGAATTGTTTATTGTTCGTTTTCCTTACAACTCCCAACGGTGGAAGAATGTGATTTCGACAGGCAATTTTTATTTGGCGAGTATGTGCCCATTTCTCCTCGTTATGAGTTAAAAAGAGTATCATTGAAAAGCTAAATAACTGTTCTTTCGTCCTATGTAAAAATTGAATTGTTTAGCCACGTTTATGATGCACGACAGCCTGTTGAATTTCCGTAGCGCTTTTTTTGAGACACCCTGAAGTTGAATATTGCAGCTATTTGTGACTGAATTGTTCTCGTGAGGAGATGTTTACCATGTCTCTAAGAAATGGGCCCCATATATGATTTCTAAACTGATTAAATGATGCTGCCATTATACTTTGCACGCTTAGAGTTTAAAGACAATGTAAAGTCCGTTCTGTCTGCGCATACGTTCTGCGCAGGCTTACATTCCAATGGTCGGGACCCTTTGGACCCGACCGTTGGAATGTTATTAATATTTCGCATCTTTTGAACCAGAAGAGTGTGAAGAAATTCAATATAATATATATCTAATCATATTTTACAACTGTAGCACCATAGCGAACCAGAAGAGTGTGAAGAAATTCAATATAATATATATCTAATCATATTTTACAACTGTAGCACTGAGTTCAAAATGTAAACAAAGCGTTTGTTTACATTACGGACTTTACATGGCCTTTAAGGTTTATAGAGTTTATAATTAAGGTTTGCAAAGGACAATCTTGTTTGAATTAGCTGTATATATACTGTCCAGCAGCATAATTAGATTATAATATTTTTACATTTATACAAAAACTACGTTCACATGGGCTATTCGCCGGAACGAGATTGTTTGCAAACGTCACTTTTGTCGTAACAAATTGAGCACGATTTCTAAACAGAGCGAGTTTGGCGGCTTCGTGTCAACACAAACGCCGTTACTTTTTTGTACCGCTTTTGCAAACCAAGCATCTCAGCTCTCAAAACATAAATTCGTGCGAATTTAATTTGTAAACAAATTATAACGTCGTATAGTGCATGTCTATATATATCGAACTAGTTGTCTTTTCTTTAAAACATTCAGAAAGTCTATATGTATTGTCATTGAAAATTATCGTCATTTTCTTGGCGATTGAGGGAATGAACGTTATGTTCAAACGTACGTTCTTTTAACCGTTTCATTCTTTCGGGATCTCCTTATGCATCGTATATATCGCCATTCTTTGATTAACTGTATATGCTGTGCTTCATTCCTGTTCGTGTCCAGAATTAGTCTTGTGTTTTTTGGCTTGAAAATCAGCGACCAACACTTTTAAAGCATTCTTCAATTTCTTGCCAAGAACTCTGACTGTTTTCACATCGCTCTTTATGGATTGTGGCGAACCTTTATGGCTCTTCTTGCATCTTCTATTTCGTGTGAGATTAATTCTTTTTCTTGTAATGCCAAAGCCGTTATTGTCGTCTTTGCATGCGATTATGACTGCCAAAAGAACGCTCAGCGCAACCGTCCACACTAAAACGTTGGATAGCTTCATTTTACTTCTTTGAAACGCTTTGAAATAGCACAGAAAGCCAAAGAGGATGTCTATTATCGTTTAACAAGCTACCTTTATTGTTATTTGTACTTTAACAAGGCAACTTTGAATTATGCTGTATTGTAATCCTTGCTAAACCAAGTCCAACGCCAGTCTAACGAAGATTTGAAGTGCCTCTAGGCTATTTATAATCTCTCTAAACCTATATCCCAGCTTCTTCTCCCTTAGTTCGTAGTATTTTTAGCTTTTGACGTTCAAAAAGGACGCATCATGCCCAGCGTGCCTGCTAAGGGCCTCGGGTAGCTCTTTAAAGCGTTTGAATGGCTTCAAACCTTGCGATTTGCAAGCATTGCTGCTTCTGTGTGGGAGAAACGGTGAATGGGTAGTATTTTTTCATGTGAAGACTTCTAAATTTATCTCGCTCGCGTTCGGCTAATTGTGAGAAAATTTTCGTCTTGTTTCTGGAACGTTTACATGTTCGAGAATCATGTGATATGATTTGGTCAAAGTTGTATTTATATATATAGGTTGTGCTCAGTTGACAGACTGTTTAACGTATATTTACAAAAATATAATGCTGCTAGGCATCTTAATATTCGCGCTACATAATCGCTTCTTGGGAAGTTCCGTGTTTTTGCTACATTTCCTGAGCTGTTTCGTAGAATTGCAGGACTTTAAATATGCTTCACAGCTTGTCAGCGAGATGTGTTCGTACTGCTTGTTCCCAGTTGCTGACAAGTCCGGAACAAGTTGTTATCATCTTGTTACAAGGTTGACGAGGCCAACAGACTCGCAACAAGTTGTTCCAACAAGTCTGATATCGTCTGCACGTAACAAGTTGATGACAACAAGCTCGTAGCAACTTGTTACGAACACAGGCGTATTAGTCTTGTTGGAACAACTTGTAGCAAGTCTGTTACCGTCATCAACCTTGTAACAAGGTGGTAACAACTTGTTCCAGACTTGTCGCAACAACTGGGAACAAGCAGTTTGAACACATCCTGATTTTACATGAGAATTTTCCCAACTTTCATTGCTTGATCAAACGAGAACAAGAGTTGCATGAGAGTTGAGAAGCGAGAGTTTACACGAGAATTTTCTCAACTTTCATTGCTTGATCAAACGAGAACAAGAGTTGCATGAGAGTTGACAAGCGAGAGTTTACATGAGAGTTTTCTCAACATTCATTGATTGATCAAACGAGAACAAGAGTTGCATGAGAGTTGACAAGCGAGAGGTTACATGAGAGTTTTCTCAACATTCATTGCTTTATCAAACGAGAACGAGAGTTGCATGAGAGTTGACAAGCGAGAGTTTACATGAGAGTTTTCTCAACATTCATTGCTTGATCAAACGAGAACAAGAGTTGCATGAGAGTTGACAAGCGAGAGTTTACTTGAGACTTTTCTCAACTTTCATCGCTTGATCAAACAAGAACAAGAGTTGCATGAGAGTTGAGAAGCGAGAGTTTACATGAGAGTTTTCTCAACATTCATTGCTTAATTGATCAAACGAGAACAAGTTAAGAGTTCATTTGATTCAAGCACTGCTTTGGATCAAGAAGTCATTTGATTCAAGCATACTTTGGATCAGCGAAATCATACTTTGGATCAGTGATTAGAGTTGAGAAGCGAGAGTTTACATGAAAGTTTTCTCAACATTCATTGCTTGATCAAACGAGAACAAGAGTTCATTTGATTCAAGCATACTTTTGGAACAAGAGTCATTTGATTCAAGCATACTTTGGATCGGGATTTAAGGAAACTATATTATGCAGCATGCATTACACCAGGATTTAAATAACTTATACTCACATTAGCGCATTTAATGTTTCCAAAGTCTAAAAATAACGTGCGTTAATTTACCCAAAGAATCGAAGCGTATCTAAAACTATGTGCACTATACTTGTACACGTTTTGCTAAAAGTTACTGTTTTTGAAACCAGTTTATTTTTATGCTAACTAAAAGGAGTAATTATGCATAATCATACCAAACAAAAAGCTCAAAATAGCCCTCGAATATGTCGGCAAACTTTGGAACGCAAAACAATAAATATTTAGGATTATTGCTGGGGGTTTTAAAGTTACGGCGTGGCTTTTGAAACGGTCTATTTCTGGCAGTAACTTTAATGTTTAGCGATGCTAAATGTAAGCTTTCGTCTTGTTATAACTTGGAAAGTAGGATCGACTGATCCTTACTGGACCTCTAAAGCTAGGGAGAACAGTTTCGAACTAAGAACGATGTATATTGAAGCCACTATAAAGTGTTGATAGGAATGACTCTAATGCCTGTATTCTAAAAGCTCACTCACACTCAATGAGTGGAGGTTCAATCTGAGCTTCTCTTGAGTGTCAATGCTGTTTTTGAATAGCTGTATAGGGCGAGTAGTCACAGAGTAAGGTACGAGAACAGTAAATTTGATAGCATGAGACTATTCTTTCTCACTATACGTCGGTGCGAAATGAGGCCGGCCGAATTTACGTCTGTACGTGTACAGATTTACAAATTAAATTAGCACTCCTGTAAACGCAAAATATTTCAAATAGAACAATGAAATTTTAAACGAAAAGCATTCGAATTTACCGTTCTGTGACCCGAGATACTTGGTTTGCAAAAGCGGCACAAAAAAGCAACGGCGTTTGTGTTGACACGAAGCCGCCAAGCGCTCCGTTTTTATCTCGTTCCGTTTAGAAACCCTGCTCAAATTGTTACGACAAAAGTGACGTTTTCAAACAATTTCACGCTCCGGCGTATAAAGGCCTGATTCCACGGGCGCTTTTTCTCGGCGAAATGCGAATTATTTCGCCTGTTTCTTTTGAATTGCAACTACTCGAATAAATTATTTCTACTTGATTGCTCACAATTCAAACAAGAACGGTTTATCATTATCATAGTAAAAGATCTTCCGAGGCTGAGTTATCATCTTCCCAGTTTGCTTATCGAATCGGTGGGTGCATGTAGCACAGGCGCCTTAATTAAATTACAGTATATGTACCTGAAAGCACTAGAAGAACCAAATTGCGATGCAGTGAGATTAATTGCAATGGACTTTTCCAAAGCATTTGACAATGTAAAACACGCGAAACTGAGTGAAAAATTGAAATCGAGTTCTATGAACCCTTATTTAGTAAATTGGCACTTAAATTTCTTAAAAGATCGAAGACAGAGAATAGTTTTCCAAGGAACGACATGCAAGTGGGCTAGCATTCCAAAGGTCGTAGGTTCGATTCCCACCGTGGCCAGGCATATTTTTCAAGCTTGCCCGGTGTGGATATACACTCAGAGTAACATCACAAGCATCATATTCACCTGAGTACATCACAACAACACAGAAAAAAAGTCACTAGTGGAAAGATATTAACAAGGGAGTTATGCAATCTAAAGCCAGTTTTCCACTAGACGGAATTTTCCGCACGGAGGGGAATTTCTCTTTGTCTTGTGATTTCTCGGGTGGAACTAATAGACAATTATACACTAATTTTAAAATTAGGTAAGGAAACTCAAATAAATCACCACAGCTAGAAAGAGCATACTAAAATTAGTAAAATTACAAAGTTTGGTTGCGAAATGCTGTAAAATGAGCAAAATATAGCCTTGCAAAGTTCGCAAATTTTGTATACTTTTGCAGTATTGCGTGCGGAAATTCCTACCACATTCCTACCACATTTAGGCCGAAAATGTCGCACGCAATACAAAAGTATACAAAATTTGCAAATTTTGCAAGGCTATATTTTCCACATTTTACAACATTTCGCAACCAAATTTTGTAATTTTACTACTTTTAGTATGCTCTTTCTAGCTGTGGTGATTTATTTGCATCTCCTTGCCTAGTTTTAAAATTAGTCTATAATGGGAATTGTCTATTAGGAAAGACAAAGAGAAATTTCGCTGCGCGCGGAAAATTCCTCCTAGTGGAAAATGGCCTTAAGTTATGCCGAAAACAGGCGTACTTTATAGCCAAGCTAATAAAATAACCCCCTCCCCTATAACTACAGATATCATGGCAAAACATTTGCAACCATATATAGAGATGTTTTTATGTTATTTGTTCGACTGTTGATGTACGTTCCTTTGGTTATTTTCATAGGAACATGTTCAAGTGAGATTGATTGCCTTTCAAGAAACTGTTACCTCCGTTGCTTTGGGGAAAACAAACATCCAAAAAAGGTAACTGTATATTAAGCATTATGATTGATTTGATCACTTTTGTAGTTTTGTATAGGCATGCAAATTCAAATAAACTTTTAAAATAACAACAGCTTTTTTGTGACCCTTGTTTTTCATCACGATGATCTACAGGGTGTATCAAAATAAACGCAATTCATCTTTTGTGCTTAATAACTTTCGAAATACTATTTCTAGGTAAACGCTTTTAGGCTTACTTCAAAGCCTGTTCTTTTCTCTTTCAAACAAACTATTATCCTTGTCTCCAATGCTAGTAATAATTGCACAGGAAAAGATTTAGTAAAACCTATCATTTTTAGTTGCTGTTTAATTATGCAAGTTTACTATATTATGTTATTGTTTAGTCGATTTAAATGTTAGAATTTTCTTCTTTAAACTTTAATGTTGTCGTCACTACATCTGGAAAACCACGTAAGAACAAATTAAAAGTATTTTAAAAGAGACCAGGTTGTGTGAAAATCCTAAACGAATGCTAAAAATCACGTCAAAACATTCTGGTGTCTGAGCCAGAGTGTCATCGAATTGCGATGTAATGTAAACAGAAATTATAGCAAGTTGATGTCAGTCAGCTTAGATGGTCCAAGCCAAACATCCGAAAAAGGTAACCGTATATTACGCATTATGATTGATTTGATCACTTTTGTATGGGCATGCAAGTTCAAACAAACTTTTAAAATAGCTACAGCTTTTTTGTGACCCTTGTTTTTCATATGATCTATATTATACATGTTGAAGTTCTATTTAAAACACGAACGGCAATGTTTTATCGGATATAAAGATACGAGGCGAAGCCGAGTATCTTTGGGTCTGATAAAACACGCACTGCGAATGTTTTAAATTGCTTCAAAAACGATCGATCTAGTAAGTTCATTGGCGAAGTAATTTTCAAAGAATACGTTGTGTAAGTTGAGAAAATCAAAGTTAAAGTTTATGTAAATCAAGGGAAATCTCTATCACATATAAAGATACGACACGCGTATGATTTTTCTTTGTGTTTTCCTCATGAATTATTTGAGTTTTTGAAGAATATTATAGGCCGTGCTGTGCATGGGTTATAGGATTACACACTACACATGAGGTATAAAAATCTTACAACTTGTCAACAATTAAGACGTGTTCGAGGTGTAGCAAGCTTCTCAACAAGATGTGTTCGCAACAGGCTTGTGGCAAGCTTGTCAACAAGTTGTGATGACAATGCTGTTATTTCATCAAGTTGCTACAAGGTTGTCACTCACAACTTGTTGACAAATTGTTGAATTGCAGGACGATAACAATTTGTTGGAACAACCTGTAACAAGTCTGTTGAGCTTAACAACCTTGTAGCATGTTGTCAAGAAGCTGGAAAAACAGGGCGAACACATCCTGTTGACAAGTTGTTGGAACAGCATTGCTACAAGTCTGCTGCAGGTTTGTTACAACTTGTGCGTTTTTACGTGTGTACACGCGTCAAAATCTCGTAGCTTGTCAACAAGATGTGTTGACAAGCACATCATCATCATTATCATCATCATCATTATCATCATCATCATTATCATCATCATTATCATCATGATTATCATCATCATGATTATCATTATCATAATTATCATCATTATCATTATCATCATCATTATCATCATCACAATCATCATCATTATCATCATCATCATCATCATCATTATCATCATCATCATTATCATCATCATCATTATCATCATCATCATTATCATCATCATCATTATCATCATTATCATCATCATCATTATCATCATCATCATTATCATCATCATCATTATCATCATCATCATTATCATCATCATTATCATCATCATCATTATCATCATCATTATCATCATCATTATCATCATCATCATCATTATCATCTCACTGCTTGTTCCCAGTTACTGACAAGTCTGGAACAAGTTGTTATCATCTTGTAACAAGGTTGACGAGGCCAACAGACTCGCAACAAGTTGTTCCAACAAGTCTGATATCGTCTGCACGTCACAAGTTGATGACAACAAGCTCGTAGCAACTTGTTACGAACAGCCTGTATTAGTCTTGTTGGAACAACTTGTAGCAAGTCTGTTACCGTCATCAAGCTTGTAACAAGGTGATAACAACTTGTTCCAGACTTGTCGCAACAACTGGGAACAATTAACGAACACATCCTGATATATATAGGCTTCACAACAACCTTGTTACTTATACGCACGAAAAACTTTAAATCCGTTTAAATGTTACTTATGAAATAACCAAATAAATAAAGCAACAGAATTTAGTGTTCCGCAAGTTTTAGTTTGCATTTGTTAACTTATTTGTAAAATGTTTAAAAAATAGAAGGATTCAAAGTTTTACGTGCGTACGAAAAACGCAACAGTGGAAATCAGCCCTTAGAGTTTATAGGCTTCTGTGATCACAGTATAGTAATTTTGCGGTAGGTAAATCCTAAATTTTGAAGGATTTGTAAGAAATATTTGGGGGAACTACAGACTCGGTGTTAAACGTTGAGTCGTTTCCCTCAAACATTGCTTACAAGTCCTTCAAAACTTAGAATTTATCCATGCAAAACTCCTACTGCGTCCAAGCTGTGAGCTTTTTCACGGGTTCTATAATTGTTAAATTTATCCCAACGCCTACACACTTAACAGCATGTGAGCGCGACATGAGTTTAATTGCCGTTCAATTATCGATTTAGTATCTTTAATAGCCTGCCGATTTTGTTGTCATTGAATTGCAAGCCCCTGTTCAACAGCTTGTCAATTTCTGCCGCCGGTATTTCTGTCCGAGCTACCGTGAATAAAGTTTATGAACTTTTAGACGTTGTCAGCAATGGCTTATCGCAGTGTTGTATACTTCAGACTCAATGCACAACATTCTGTGTGTAGAATTCTACCTACACTCAACATTTACTGTTTTTTTTTTTAATCTTGACTTGTGGGAGGTCGATTGAATGGGCGTTTTGAATGCTATCCAAGCGTTTGAATCGCTTTGTGCATCTTGACATTGCGATATATCAAAACTTTAATACCCGTTGTTGTTTTGAAACATGTATGTAAACGGTATCGCCTTTATTTTTGTATACAACTTGCAAGAATAATTTATTGCTTGTGAATTAGGTTATAGTAGTTTTTATTGCATTATACGGGCGCTTTCCTTTTTATGACCGGACTGGTCTGATCCGAATTTTTGTGTCTGTATCGATGGAAAGATCTGGTCTATGTTTCGCAAATATCTAGCGAGAATGGACCTCATTCTAATTTTAAATTTTGTGGTCAGATATTTCTGTAGCCCAAACTATTTGTGTTCCATTCAACAGTTAGACCGGTCTGGCTGTGTTAATAGGCCAAGCTTCGCGTTTCCGGGAACGGCAAATGGCATGCAGGTTCGAAATTTCTTGGCAAAATTTTCGTTGAACGTTTTCGTTTCATATGTAAATCTTTCTTGCGTCGAAAGAATAATTATGTATTTCAGTTTTAAGACAGCAAGTTTATTTACTCTTTATTGCGTGATACCATAAAATTTTTCTTTGCCTGGCGTTTGCCGTCTGACGTGTATAACGCAAAGCTTAAACTGTCTATTGGAAAGCGCCCTACGTAGCCTACTTTGGCGTCTTTGCAAATTTGAATCGTATATGGAGCGAATAATGTATACTACGTAAGTCTACGTTTACGGGATATAGCTTCCCGTATAACGGCGCAAAAAAGCACCTATCTGATACGGAATGTACAACTTTCGGAAGCTGAGCGAAACAACATCTCTCCGTTGCAATAATTCCTCTGAACATAGCGTTCCTAAAAGGTACGGATAGGTACGGAGAGGATCCTATATATATACATTCAAGTCTGAGTACAAGTCCAATCCCAAATTTCAAGCCCAAGATTTCCGAGTCAGGGTGCGATAATTCGCGTACTTACGTACCGGAAGTACGCCGATATTACGGTCTGGTAATTCTTTGTTTTCAGCCACGTATACCACGTATAGGTACGCGGTGCTCTTGCTATCTCCGTACTTACTCTTTGCTGGTACCACATGACCTTTCCTAGCCCAAGGTATTCAAAACCGTAATTTAGTTGGTATATCATGTGTCTGACATGTCTTGGCATGAAACATGATTGGACCACTGATGGCACTAAGAAACAGTCGTTTGTTTGTATATATACAATTGTGCTTCTTTTTCTATACCTTGTGATCTGAACATACTTTTCAGAAACCTGTACTTTATGAACCTTATTTTAATGACTAAGGGCCTATTCATATGGGCAAAAGTTATCCCAGTTAGCGAGAAAACTTTTCGACAAGTTTACAAGCGAGATCTCGTCATGGTATGAAAATAATATGAAAAGTTGCACTGCGTTCATATGAGACAAAAAGTTTTCCCGTGTACCGAGATCTCGCTTGTTGACAGGCGAGATCTCGGTGACCGGGATAATGTTTTTCCCATATGAACACAACTTTCCCGCTTAGCGGGATAACTTTCTGTCGTGTCAGCAACTTTTCAATTCAATTGATGTTCAGTGCCACGTCACAGCCGAAAACTTTACCCGGTAAGCGGGATAAAGTTTCTCCATATGAACAGAACAAAAGTATTTGGCTAGTCGAAAAATTTTCTCGTTAACCGGGATAACTTTTGCCCATATGAACAGGCCCTAAATACACACATTGATACTGGGTTTGTGGAAGTACAAGGCAACAACCATTGGGGTGTAAAAGGAAATGAGGTTGCTTCGAAAATAGATTATAGAGCTAATGATTATATATTTCGACAATACACAGACACGGCTTAGTTGCATTTTTGGTGGCAAACAGATCAGACTATATAGACTTATAGTATCACTATTAGTGATATTCAATTTGAATGGAGATCATGACATGATTTAAATCTTATACTACCTTTTAATTATTATAATTCAATGCTTTTCCGTCTGATCTAGCGAAATATATCTTTTTACGAAAGTCATTCACTTTAATTGTTCCATTTATTTTATTGAGACACACACCTTATAAGACCTCAATTTTGACAATATTGTGAAATTTAAAATTGCTACATTTGCAAAAAAACTGTCAAGTGATTCATCGAAATTTCCCATACATATTTCATGATTACCTTATACCAATATCTGATATTCACAGCTATATCTAGACTGTCTGCCAGTGGCAATTTCTATCGGCCAAAAGTAAGAACTAATTATGGTCAATCCACCATCAAATTTATTATCTCGAAGCTGTGGAATTGTATTCCACCTTATTTAAAACATTTAAATATTGAAGCCTTTAAAATACAGCACAAACAGTCCCTCCTATCCCGTGCCTGATATAGTCTTAACCTACTTGTCAAATTATGAATTAGAAGCTAAATATTCAGATATGTTTACTTTGCCATAACGATCTTCTACTTTCTATTATATTCTATGTAAAATTATTAACATGCAGTAGCCAACTCGAAAGCTCACGCTACTTTGGCTACTGCGCACATGCATCCAATCTAACTTTATAATAATAACATTATGTAATAATTCTTAAGTTCTATAATCTCAACAGATAACTTGTAAATACTAATACCATGTGCATAATAATTCTTTCTTTCTTTCTTTCTTTAAATCGGCCTTCGCACTGCTTTGCGCTGTATGTTTTAATACATGTCAAATTACTAAAAACAAGTCACGTGGTGTTTCCATACTGGCATATATTTTGTCGGAGTTGTCGCGGAAAAGATCGTTGGAAAATTAAGCTTGAAGCCTTGAAACGCGTGCCGCGATAGAGCAATTTGTGCTGTTTTACCAGTAGTAACATGGGCCCTAATTTTAACGAAGCGTTGAGTCGAGTATATTAACGAGGAAATTCAATGGACCTATTACCTAATGAACAAAATTTTGATCTACACAAGTCTTGATCTAGACATCACAGCTTGAAAGAGCATCACAAATTAGTAATATTCCGAAGTTTCGTTGCGAAATGTTGTAAAATGCGGATAATATAACCCTGCGAAGTTTGCCGTTTTTCAGTCATTTTGTATTACGCACGGGAAATTGATACGCCTTTCTGAAAAAAGGTATCAATTTTCCGTGCGTAATACAAAATGACTGAAAAACTTCGCAGGGCTATTATTATCCGCATTTTACAACATTTCGTAACGAAACTTTGAAATATTACTAATTTTGTGATGCTCTTTCAAGCTGTGGTGAAATTTTTGTCTGGACTTGTCTAGATCAAAATTTTGTTCATTAGGGAATAGGTCCATTAGTAGACTCGTACAGCCAGAACTTGTGATCTAATTTCCAAAGTCCAAAGGAGTCGAGCCCATGCAAGTCATGATGTATACCCTAGCTCACGTCCAGATTCGAGTCCTATACAACACTGATGTATAGATTCCAGCTGTGGATTAGATTCGAAAATCCTAGATATATTGCATGTGGAGCTCAAGCAGGCTGGCCCACTAAGCGTTCATCGGCATCTTCGTGTAATCACAGTTACGAGAGGCAGGCGGTAAGGGAATGTTATGGTGTGAGAAGATTCTACAAGAACCACTCCACCGTAATCAGAAAAATGGAAGCTGGGGAAATTCTAGACAGGACAGTGTCTTTATAGGGGTGTTTACACTACCGAAGTTTTTGTGATCAAAGTATGAATTTGTGTGAAATATTTGATGGAACAACAAGTCGGGTTCCATCAAACATTTCTTACAAAATACAAATCCTTCAAAACTTAGAATTTACCCATGCAAAATTCCTACTGTGATCACAGAAACTTTGATAGTATAAGCCAAGGTTAATCACACCAGTGCAGCTGAGCGCAGGGGGGAAGGTTGAGGTGGGGCCGAAGCTAGTGGGAGAATTCTACTCAGTACACAATGGAGGCAGCAGTCGTATTTACAAGCTAACACCTAATTTTAATGTAAACCTTCTATTTTTAATAATTTCTTTTCATTTTTTTTGACAAACGATATGTTATCACTTTGTTTTGTTTTGTTTTCCCGAGAATCTCAATGTTTCTTTGTTTCCAGATTCGAGGGAAAACAAAACTAATTAGTATTTCCCGAGGAAACAGACATTAAATAGCGACGACAGAAAAATCAACAACATTCATACAACAATTGTATTTCATCGCAAAAACTCTATAGTATCATGCAACGAGTTTAAAATCAAAAGAACCTATACTTAAACGGTTTCAGCAGCATATCCCGTTGCCTGTTGTGTATTTTTATTCTCTTTTACGTTTTTATTTTAACACAAACTTGGAAAATCGTAGTTTATAAGCTTGTAAGTTGCGCCGCCATTTTGTATATATTTATACTATAAACGCGTATAGCCGTTCGGTGCGGGCAACAATTTTTCACATTGCATTCATCTAAAACCACATGACCACAAATCAGCCAAAGCAGGTCTTGTGTTCATCCTACGACAATATACATTCTTGTTCTCTCATGATATTTGTATTCGCTGTTTGCATCGTCTATATACCGTATATTCCCCACACTTATACGCTCTGACAAAAAGTTCTTATGTATAGTCTGATGACTCTGATCTACGATAGCTTATTTCGAGGGCGAATGGGATTTTCGGTTTTGCGGGTATCGCTATTTTTAAAACAGTTTCTCGGTTTTCGCGCAAGAAACTGCGGTTTGTCGGTCTTCCTTGTGGGGTTTTCCGATTTTAGCAGCGGTTTTTCGGATTTCGTTTCTAGTTCCTAATTATTCGGTAATTTCGAATGAATTGCAGTAGAAACCACGCTAATTCGAACTCCCAAGCCAAGCGAAAACTGTTTGGATTAGCAGGGGTTCGAGCTATTAATGGGTTCGGTGCGTGTCGGATTTCGTTGATTATGCTAAATAATTAATAGGCTATATATAGACTTATTATAGTCGTTTTATTATCCATCACAATTGTGAGCCATTAAGCAAGGGTGGGTAGTAGCGAAGTAGTTGTAGTTCGCTACTGTAGCGAACTACAATTTTCAAGTAGCCAGTAGTTTTTGACTACTTTTTTAAATCAGTAGCTGTAGTTATAGCGAACTACATTATGCCTAAAAGTAGCCAAGTAGTTGACTACTTTTCAAACAGCGAATCGTTATTTGCTACTTTTTAAAATTGTTTTTAACCTTGATAGAATAGCATGATATTGAGACACGGTTTGCTTAAAATCAATACTCAATAGTCAATTTGCACTCCTGAACACTGTAGTGCTTACAAAATGTTGCTTTGTGTTTACTGTTGCTACTCGTAAGTCGATTTGTTATAGATTACATTACAGCCTGAGTTAGTTGATGCTCCAATATAGTAAAACTAAAAAATATAGTGTAGCGAAATAGCGAAATAATTCGCTACATTTTTTAAGCAGTAGCTGTAGTCAGTAGCGAACTACCTTTGTTCAAAAGTAGCAGTAATTGTAGCTGACTACATATTTTTGAAGTAGCTGTAGTTATAGCGAACTACAAAAATTTTGTAGTCAACCCACCCTTGCCATTAAGTCTGATTTCTATATGGTCGTAACGGTCGTAAAGATTGAGTCACGATCTTTCTCATCAGCCCAAATACAACATTTTAGAACTGAAAATACGCGGAGTGCTTATAACTAGAGAATACTTATGATTTAGCCTATATCAGTATATGTGGTTTACAGGTATAAACCGGCTATTATAAACTGGCCGTTGAGAAAGATCGTAACTCTATATTTTTACGACAATATCGAAACCAGGTTTAAGCGACAATAAATTACTGTAATAATTGGGTCAAATCCATGCAGGGGGAATTGCGTTTAGTCCGAATTAAGCGAGTCCTTGTTAGCGGGGTTCACTATAATTATGCGCGCCAGCTGAGCGCTATAATATTCCGTTGTCAAGGGAATTTTTAGAAAAGTTTCCTGTCATGAAAACGATTTCTTCAATATGGAAATTGGAAATATTTTTTCATTTCTAGAAAGTCGATGGGATCAGTTTCAGCCTAAAGAAAGTCTAAATATTAAGGTATGTTGTCACGGGTAAATTAAACCACTAAAAGTGTGTACGCCTTCAATTTTAAGATCCAGTTGTTGTTTAGTGCATGTATATGTGACACGTGAGCTATGAACGTGAATCTCGCGCGCGATATACGCACGTAAAAACGCACAAGTTGTTATAGGTCTGCATACAAGTTGTTTGACAAATCTGTTCACAAGCTGTCGACAAGTTGTGTTCGCACTGCTTGTTCCCAGTTGTTGTAACAAGTTTGGAACAAGCTGTTAACAACTTGTAACAAGCTTGATGGCATTATCAGACTTGTTACAAGGTTTTTCTAACAAGTCTGATACAGTTATGATATAACAAGAATGTTACAAGGTTGTTCTAACAAGTCTGATACAGTCATGATATAACAAGAATGTTACAAGGTTGTTCTAACAAGTCTGATACAGTCATGATATAACAAGAATGTTACAAGGTTGTTTTAGCAAGTCTGATGCAGTCATGATATAACAAGAATTTACAAGGTTGTTCTAACAAGTCTGATACAGTCATGATATAACAAGAATGTTACAAGGTTGTTCTAACAAGTCTGATACAGTCATGATATAACAAAAATGTTACAAGGTTGTTCTAACAAGTCTGATACAGTCATGATATAACAAGAATGTTACAAGGTTGATGACACAAGGTTGTAACAATATTGTTATATCATGAATGTATCAGACCTGTTGGAACAACCTTGCAACAAGTCTGATAATATCAACAAGGTTGTTACAAGTTGTTAACAGCTTCTTCTAAACTTGTTGATAACTTGAGACAAGCAGTGCGAACACAACGTGTTGACGGCTTGTTGGCAGACTTACTACAAGATGTAAGATTCTTGCGTGTATATACTCGTATCACAGGAAGAGCACCCACGTATATGTTTGCAGGAAGCTTATATAAACGTTTCCTGACGATCGTTGATAATGACGTTCAAGATATATTGATATCTGGCTTGTTTTGTCGAAGAAAGAGTTCTATTTGATATAGAACAGCTGCGCTGAGAAATATAAACAAAATTCTTTCGACGTTTCGAACGAAAGCCCTTCGTATTTTTATCGCATTCCTGCTCCGCTCGTGTTCCAAGATCCGCCATGTAAAGTGTAGTGAAATGTATCTTAGTCCTAGTCGTATAAATCATAGCCAACCAAAGCCTCTGCGGAGGAGAGAAAAATTGCCGTATGTGTTACAAAAACATACAAAGATATGTTCATCAAGATATATGTTCATCAGAACTAGCTATTAAAAAAGGTCTAAAATCAGTATCTAAATATTGAACGTCACTAAGAATATTGTATACTTACAATAACTTACTTACAGATTTATTTAGCCACGCTGCAGTCATACACAACATAGTTGTAAAATACAGTCTGTCGATTTTCAGATGAGGCGTGTTATACTTACAAACTATTTTAACTCACATCCTAACCTAAGTCTCTGGTATAGTGGACATACTGCGTTTAAATTGGTAAAGCGAAGATGCCTTTTTCGCCTCAGAAGGAAGACTATTCCACGGTATTGCACCACTATATATACTTAAAACTTCGTTTAAGATAGTTTGTTTTAGGTTTTGGAAGTGCTAGATCAGTATCATTACTTCGAAGATTATATTCTCTGTTAAGATATTTAATTTTTATAAATGTTTCTCTACGACTTGGAGCGGACTGCTCATTAAGAATTTTGTACATCAAAATGCTCTTCAGCCTATGACGTCTTACATCGAGCGTGGACCATTGCAGGTCCTCCAGTCTGTTCAGCGTAGGTGTCTGTTTATATTAAGAAAGATCTGACTGTGTTCGTTTTGAGTACGATCTGTTAACTATACTAAGTGATGGAAAGAGACTGCTTTTGTATCTATAGACCTATAGAGTCCTAGTCCTGGCCTGCCAGTCTAAAATGTTTTGGCAGGTGAAATAAATTTTAGCCTGCCATTTTTATTCATTGAACTGCCAAAATGGCGATTTCTCGTATGAGTCATCTTGATGGTGTGCATTTTTATTCTTTTTGAACTTGTCTATTTTACTACAGTAAACGTGGATTTACATTTCAAATATAAACGTATTTAGTCAACTAAATGATCTAAGTATATATGAGTTGTGGTAAGCAAATGAAACGAAATATATCTATAGAATTTGACCTGCCATTTTTTTTGCTTGGCAGTTCCTGCCATTTCTAAAAGGTCGAATCGAATGCTTTCTAAGGCCCCCTACATGGCGTGGCGCCACCTTGGACCTGCAGAAAAGTTTGTATAGCGTTCCCCCAGCGTGTTGACAAGCTCTTAATGGCTTGTTGACAACTTTCTTCAAGGTTGTTGACCCAACAAACTTTTGTCACGAAAGGAATACCGAATGGTTTTCCGTGCGGGATTGCGTGATCCATGCATGCACGAGGGATGTCGCGAGACTTTCGGAAAGCGTAAAATACTTTCCTCATTTGAAAGAACTTTTGAAACTATATATTAACTTCTTTTACCGATTTCTCATATCTTGCTTAGTTCTCGAAATATTTTCACTTGAAGTAATGAGATGTCCGCCATCTTGGATAAATTTTTGATCTCATTAACGGTAGTTTTGGTGACATTACAACAGGGATTATCATATAAAAGTACTCTTTGCCGACCAAATATTGATTGGTAGATGTTTTAAAGGTTTTGAGTGATCTTGATATTTCGAAGGGCAGACAGAATATAGTTTTGAGTGCAAAATGATTAGTGGTTGTCTAGATAAAAATATTGCACCCCTGTTGTGACGTGATATGCATATCTAGAAAAATTGAAGATAGCGGACATTTCGATTCATTCCTTTCGATAAAAATATTTGTAAAAGTACAGTTAATAAAATAAGACTACGGTAGAAGTAAGCAAGATATGGAAAAACGGTAATGGAGTATTATATATAACAGTCTTAAAAGTTCTTTCAAATGAGAAAATAAAAAAAATATATTGCATTTAATTCCTTTAACATGAATTCGGACCCATCAACCAGACCTTTGCGCTTGAATTCGTGTACTTTGTACATATTTAGACGGTTTGACAGCATTATTGGACGTGTATATAATTATGACATTGCCAATAGTTATTTTCAATTTCAAATATATATAATTATAAATGTTATATAAATGTGAAAAGCCATTAACATAAAACATCATATATAATTAGTTCATGCTGAATTTCCTGGTCGCCATGTAATTCTTATCTGTTTCCGAAAAACACGTGTGTATATTTCTTTAATTGCTAATAGATTGAAAATAGGAAAGATTTTTTATATGGAATAAGAATTATGTCTGAAAATTAATTTGCCAAGATAAAGATGACACAGCCTGACATTTATCTTTACGTGGGCGTTAGTTTATATTCGGAAACATTCAAATTATTTATTTATGTTTTTTTTGTTAACAGCCTGACAAGTTGTTTGGCGTTTGCGGTTTGGAAAACATGTAATATTTTGTGCAATTTTGGTCTATTTTTTCATTATTTTTGTATCGTTTTAATGTGAGCTATATTGTGAAATTATTTGTTTAACATACAATAAGATTATATAATATATCAAATAATACAGTTTAATTCATTCGCATGCGTGTGGATTGAGCGAATATTTAATTAAATGCACAAAATTTGAAATATATTATTTTAGTCTGAAATTTAAATTGCAAAAACTAAAAGGCAATTTAAGTTAGTTTAGTTTTCCTTCTGTAGCAACCCTGGATCTGTAACAGATGACTCTTTCTAGATCTCTAGGGAGAACACAGTTTAGAACTGATAGAGCTATCCAGTATAAATAAAGTTAGTTTAGTTTAGGTTTCCTCCTGTAGTAACACTGGATCAATAAGAGATGATTCTTACTGGACCTCCAAGAAGAACAGTTTAGAACTGATTGAGCTATCCACTATAAATAAAGTTAGTTTAGTTTAGGTTTCCTCCTGTAGTAACACTGGATCAATATAAGAGATGATCCTTACTGGACCTCTAGGGAGAACAGTTTAGAACTGATAGGGCTATATAATATAAATATAGTTCAAACAAAAACATGCCAAAATAAATTAAAAACATGATTAATTGTTTCTCCGTCCAGGATTTAAAAAATGCCAATATTTTCAAAACATACACGCGGTGATCCATGTAAAGGGGAAAATAATGATTAATTTCAAAGACATATACAATCACTGTATAGATCGCACAATTTTTTCTCAAAGGCAGATAACTAAACTAAACTAAACATATGTAGGAATTTTACCAAAAATAAGCCAAAGTTTAAAATATCTCAAATGTGGGGTCCACGTTTAGAGAGTATATTCTTCAATAAACCTGCGCAAATGTATCTAATAATTTATCATGAAAGCATTCATGCTGGGCACTAACTTAGAGTGGTTTCCACATGCATCTATGCTGGTATCTGGTATCTTAATTGACCAATAGGAACGCAGCTTTTAATACAATAAGCCAATGATAACGAAGCCACGCAGTATATAAGATGAGCCCTCGAAACCCGTACAGCAATTCGTACATCGAGCTGCCAACGACGTAGCGATTATACCAAGAGTTTAAGTATATAGTTTAATTAATAAATATGAATTCGCAAAGTGTCCTGATATTTTTCCTAGCAACTTGTGTGCTTCTAAATTGTTTAAACGATGCCGAAGGCTTTGTATTTAAAAGGATAAATGACGTGCGAAGGAAGAGCAGCAAGAAAGCTAAAAAAATGCTGAAGAAGGAATTGAGAATGATTCGCAAAGCATCCCGAGAAATGAAACTAGCACAGCAGTATGTAGCAAAAGCATTAGCATGGGAAAATGCGTTTTTAAGTAAGTGATATTCTTTCTTGATGTTCTTCTTATTTTATATTTAGAAGCGTAGGATTCTCATTTTTATTTAACGTTGGATTCCTAGAGTTAAGTCTTTCTGAGTTGAGAATGGTTAGATCATGCAGAGGTAGTATATGTTCTTGAATGTAGGCTACCTTAAAAATTGATCTGATGTTGTACACAACTCGTGTGAAAATCTTTATTACCTCCAATTGCTGAAGAGTATTTACAACGAAATATATAAATATATATACATGTATACACACACACACACATACATACTTTACTTATACATACAAATAAAACTAACTAAATTGAAATTACACTAGTTTGAAAGTAGAGTTATAAGTTTCTCTGAGCTTTCTTCTTCGTGAAGAATCTTGTATATGTGAATTTAATTAATTATTTAAAAAAGGATGCCAAGTGTTCTTAGTTCTACAAAAGCCCTGAGTATTTAAACTGAATCTTAAAATTTGGCATGTTTACAACCTGTTAGAAGTATTAACGAGATTATCTGATTTAAGAGATTTGTTTGTTTTGAGATTTGGCACAATTTTCAATTCTTCTGTCGATAAGGATATTTTTTATTTGTTTATTTTTTGCGAACCGATTTGTTTGTCAAAGTTTCCAGCGCTAAACTCCGGATTTCGGTCAGTACAAATAAAGATAAGACGGTATTGTTTCCAAGATAATGTTGTCTTAAACGTGGTCCATGCCGCTTCAAGCGACCATTGTGCAAAGCCAAGTCTATACAGGCGTCTTCTTATACATTCCTTTATTCGTGGGAAGGTCCCTTTTACAACGAGATACCGTTGGCTCTGTTGTCAAAACTAGCGCGTTTCAGCTCTGGGAAAAGATTGTGAAAAGACCGAGTCAACACTCTGCCGAAACTCAATGGGATTTTTTCCACTGCCTCCCAAAGATTGTGTCGTATTCGAGACCATCGATAGTTCAACTACCATTTTTCATTTTATCATAACAACGGATCTCTTAATTGAAAATTTGTTTGCGCAGAAACAATTGACAATCGCGTCGTTTAAGCCAAGATCAACAAACGGTTTTTGTTCATGATTTCATCAATGCGTTGGAGGAATGGTTTAAACAATTGTTAAACACGGAGTCAATTCCCTCAAACATTTCTTGCAAATCCTTCAAAACATAGAATTTACCCACGCAATATTTCCTACTGTGATTACAGAAATTTTGATAATGTAAATCAGTCTTTTTGATCAATTTGAAAACACAGTTTTGATTCCAACATTGAGCTAATTATATTCTTTATAAGTAAACTCTCAAGCTGAAATTTAGTTCACTGCTTTACTTGTAGAGCTGTTCAGTCTACAGAGATTGGTGATGAGTTTTTACCCTTTATAAGTGCACGAGATTTAAACTCTCAACCTTCAGGAATCTAGTCCATTGCATGCTCTAGCTGTTGAGCTAGCAAGTCTACAGAGATTGCTGATGAGTTCTTATTCTTTATAAGTATACACGAGATTTAAACTCTAAACCTTCGGGAATCTAGTCCACTGCTGTACCTGTTGAGCTATCAAGTCTACAGAGATTGGTGATGAGTTTAGTATTCTTTATAAGTACACAAGATTTAGACTCGAAGCCTTCAGCAGTTCAGGAATCTAGTCCATTGCATCTGCTCTAGCTGTTGAGCTAGCAAGTCTACAGAGATTGCTGATGAGTTCTTATTCTTTATAAGTACACGCGATTTAAACTGTAAAGACTAAACCTTTAGGAATCTAGTCCTCTGCTCTACTTGTTGAGCTATCAAGCTTACAGAGATTGGTAGCGAGTTTTGTCATTCACGATAACGGGGTTTTGTATTTTCTCTGTTCATTTCAACTCTAAAATCTCGCCACAGCAAGGAATATATAAAGAAAACCAAAAAAATACCCAACCATGCATGGATGCGTGCATATATTTACCTTATGGAGTTATGCTTTAGAATAATAGAGAGATTATAAAGCGATCAATATCTTATCGACAGGAAACGTATCGGAACCGCGTATTCCCCTCCGCAAAATAGTGTACGGAAGTCGCTGACGCTACCCACCAAAACATTTAGGTTGCGATATCAACAGGAACATTTGTGGTTAGGTCTTAACATTGGCAATGTAAAACTTCTGACGTAGTGTGTGGGCTGCCAATGATACCGAAATCCTGAGGAAACGGAACTAGCCGGCATCTACAATTCCTTATAAGATAGACCACGGATAGACTTCCTCAGGGAGTTATCATGGAATTTTGCATTTTGAAGATAAATTACCGAAGGTTATTGTAAATAGAAAGTGTAGCAGAAAGGAATTCAGATCACACAAATGATCTAGCATTGAACCGGACACTTGACCTTGTGGGACAAATATATAAACGATATTCCTCCTCGAAAGATAATATAACTCAAAGGTTACCCACATCAAAAATACCCTCTGGCTTTGCCAAGGTAGTGCATGTTTTTTATTGTGGGCTACCTTGAATGTTACACAGAACTTATGATGTGGGTTAAGTCTCTCTGAGTTAACACGACACTACTCTTTACACACATGCATGAGTTCGCTTTAAGGTAGCCCACATTCAAGAACATGCATGTACTATCTCTGCATGATCTAACCATGCTTAACTCAGAGAGACTTTACTCACATGAATTCTGTACAACATCAGATCACTTTAAGGTAACCCACATTCAGGAACATGTACTACCTCTGCATGATCTAACCATGCTTAACTCGGAGAGACTCAACTCTATACTCACACGAGTTTTGTACAACATCAGATCACTTTAAGGTAACCTACAATCAAGAACATGTACTACCTCTGTATGATCTAACCATGCTTAACTCAGAGAGACTCTACTCGCATGAGTTCTGTATAACATCAGATCACTTTAAGGTAGCCCACATTCAAGAACATGTACTACCTCTGTATGATCTAACCATGCTTAACTCAGAGAGACTTAACTCTATACTCACACGAGTTTTGTACAACATCAGATCACTTTAAGGTAACCTACAATCAAGAACATGTACTACCTCTGTATGATCTAGACTTAGGTCTACTTACATCAGACCACTTTAAAGTATCCCACATTCCATATTATACCACGAAAATTCTCTAACTCATGTTAATCTTTGTTTTTCTCTATAGAATAAAGAATTACGTAATTTATCGCTGGACCGATGAATTAAACTGAAGAATCCATATTTCACAGAAGAAGGCAAAACACTCCAAATGCTAAACTCGTTATTTCAAATCCAGAATTCTGTTTTCTATATATTAGTGAACTATACTATACTTAAATATACTTACTGAAATTCTTAGTCGATTTTTGAAATTGTCTATTGTTCCTGTGTGATATTCCATGATTATGTTTAGTTTTTATTTATCGTCGACATGTACAATATATTTTGCAAATTAACACCTCGGCTGGTCCGAGGAAAATACTATGTAGTATAAAGATATAGTATACATCTACATATTTTATTACTTTAAGAGAGAATTTATCGAAATTGAGACTATAGTATTTATTTTAAAATTCCAATAGCATCTATGTTGAATAGAGATTAGAATTTTGCTGGCAAAATACCCTGTCTCTACTTGTAAAATAATAAATATGAATTGATTTTAATGATGTTGTATTCGTTATTAGAGATGTGTCTGTATTAGAGAGCTGTCCGTGATAGAGAAGTGTCCGTATTAGAAAAGATGTCCGTATTAGAGAGATGTCTGTATTAGAGAGATGTCCGTATTAGAGAGATGTCCGTATTAGGGAGATGTCCGTATTAGAGAGATGTCTGTATTTAGAGAGATGTCTGTATTTAGAGAGGTATCTGTATTAGAGAGGTGTCCGTATTATAGAAGTGTCTGTATTAGAGAGGTGTCTGTATTAGAGAGGTGTCTGTATTAGAGAAATGTCTGTATTAGAGAGGTGTCTGTATTAGAGAGGTGTCTGTATTAGAGAGGTGTCTGTATTAGAGAGGTGTCTGTATTAGAGAAATGTCTGTATTAGAGAGATGTCTGTATTAGAGAGGTGTCTGTATTAGAGAGGTGTCTGTATTGGAGAGGTGTCTGTATTATAGAGGTGTCTGTATTAGAGAGGTGTCTGTATTAGAGAGATGTCTGTATTAGAGAGGTGTCTGTATTAGAGAGGTGTCTGTATTAGAGAAATGTCTGTATTAGAGAGATGTCTGTATTAGAGAGGTGTGTGTATTAGAGAGGTGTCTGTATTGGAGAGGTGTCTGTATTAGAGAGGTGTCCATATTAGAGAGGTGTCCATATTAGAGAGGTGTCTGTATTAGAGAGGTTTCTGTATTAGAGAGATGTCTGTATTAGAGAGATGTCTGTATTAGAGAGGTGTCTGTATTAGAGAGGTGTCTGTATTGGAGAGGTGTCTGTATTGGAGAGGTGTCCGTATTATAGAGGTGTCCGTATTATAGAGGTGTCCGTATTATAGAAGTGTCCGTATTATAGAGGCGTCTGTATTAGAGAGGTGTCTGGATTAGAGAGATGTCTGTATTAGAAAGATGTCTGTATTAGAGAGCTGTCTGTATTAGAAAGGTGCCAGTATTAGAGAGGTGTCTGTATTAGAGATATGTCTGTATTAGAGAGATGTCTATATTAGAGAGATGTCTGTATTAGAGAGGTGTCTGTATTCGAGAGGTGTCTGCATTAGAGAGGTGTCTGTATTAGAGAGGTGTCCATGCCAAAGATATTTCGCTGTTTATTGTTTTTGGCATGTAGCTGTTACAAGGTACAACAATAATACTCCCACGTTTGCGGCTTAACCTTGCACTTAACTGCAACCAAGGACGAAGGTTAATGGTTCTCCTGCCATCTGCGCTTACAAACGCATAGTAAAGTTTCAAGTAAATTTGCACAAACAACTTTGTTTTTTACTTTTTGTTTTTTTTTTATTTGAAGCCGTAAACAACTTTTTTTTATTATTTGGAACGTACCCTCAATTTTCCAACACTTCGTGCATATAGTTGGTTTATTCATTTGTACTGGATAAACCTAAACTAAACTAACTTTATTTATACTGGATAGCTTTATCAGTTCTAAACTGTTCTCCCTAGAGGTCCAGTAAGGATCATCTCTTATTGATCCAGTGTTACTACAGGAGGATATGGAAAGCGATTTGGTGCAAAATTCAAGCATTAAAATTCTATCGGTTTCAACAAACACCGATCAACATCAACCACGTTTTTATCATACATTCAACAAACCGATTCAACGTCAACAATAATTCCGTTCCAAATTCAACTATTCAAAAAGCCTTCTGTATCAACACCGATTTTTGTTTCACAACCAACACGAGTTTCCTTCAAGATCAACCTTAAAATTGTGCCAGATTCAAGCAAGCAAAATTTCAATCAACAAACCCCGAAACGCTGTCAACAAAACTCGAAACGTTGTCAACAAACCCAGTGTTTCCACTCCAAAAAATAATTTCCTTTTAATAACCTGAAATTTCCTTTTTTCAGCAAAATTTCCTTCCAAAATTTTTATCAAAATTGACAGATTTACCTGGTAATTAACATCAAAATTCTAGTATTAATTTATAGTAGATAACTCTGTATTTTGAAGGTTAAAATCAGCTCATTTTTATCATCCTCTAATATATGTCCTCCCATGGAATTTCCCTCCCATTTAATTTACTCCCCTTCTGGAAATTCCGGGTGAAAATTACTCTTCCCCTTGGAATTGCAGAGCCTGGATCCCCCTTTCCTGGAAATTCCAGGGTTAATGCACCCCCTCCCTTGGAAATTCCAAGGTTCCTCAACAGGGGGGTGGGGGCGGGGGGTGGGGGCGGATAATAATTGATGTGGTTGCCTATAAATCGGGAAATTCAGGACAGTTCACATCATTGAATTTGGGGAGGTTCACGGTTCTAGCTGATGCTTTAAAACACTAATAATCTCCTCCAACCGACAAGTTAATAAGTTATCCTGGTTTGAAAATGGGGTATATTTCGGGTATATTGCCATGACACGAAAACGGCTTTGATACACGCAAGGGGGTTTATAAATCGGGAAATTCAATAAAATTCACATTGTATTCAGTAAGGCTTACTCTTTCTATTAAACATAAATAACCCCCTGAAACCGACGAGTAATGGCAGATTGCATTTATTTTCCGCTCAGGGATGGGGGTGGGGTGGGGTGAGGACAATGAAAAATCCGGGGAAGTGGTGTAAAAAAGGCTTCAATCTCGTTCCCTGAGCCTGCGATCCTCGGGAAGGAACGTGAGGATCTAGGATAATCCGTTACCGAAAGCCAGGAATCCTGGCTTAGGCCACATAAAAAAATTACTTGTTTAGCGTCCACCCATTTTAATTTTTCTAAGTCGGGCGGACGGATTTTTTTTTTCGTAAAATGCAACACAAAATCAGTCTGCTAAATGCAGGAAATCCAGTATATTACCACAGTCAAACCTCACTTTAATTCTTTCAAAATGCGTTCATGTTTTTTAACTTCCCGTTCATGTTTTTAATAAAACAGAAAATTACCGTTTGGCGGTCACGCGCGAACACTTTAGCTGCGAACAGGCATATTCTGGGAAGGAAACTTTGTGTAAACGTATTACATAGCTCCCAGAAGAATAAAATCACCATTTTTTCAAGTAAAACGGTCTTTTTTATAGAGAGTTTTTCCACTAAACTCGGACAGATTTTAAAAAAAAACAAAAAAAATTGGAGGTCGGGGACTTTTATCAGGTCGGGCGGGGACGCTAAACAAGTAATTTTTTTATGTGGCCTTGAGGCTAGTTTCCTGTTCCACTCAGGAAAATTATCCGTGGATTGGAACGGACAAGAGAATTTTTCTTTATCCTGTGAGTTCTGGGTTGGAACTAATGACTTTAACACAAAGAAAAATTTTCTTGTCTTTTCTACTCCACGGATAATTTTCCTGAGTGGAGTCTAATCTTAAGACTGAACTGCGCATTCCATATGAACAACCAATCAAATTCCTCCGTGAAACGGCCTTAGAAAATCCAGGGGGAGGGGTTAAAAAGACTGCAGAAATCCGAGGGGTGGGTGATTAGAGACCAAAATCGAGTGGATGTTCTGCAATTAAAGCCATTTCCCACAATTCCAGGGGGTCACAATTTAGCTGGTAAAAAGATGTCATCGACTTCCCTTCCCCCCCCTCCGTGCGGAAAATAAATGCAGTCTGCCCATCATTGTTTGAAAATGGGGTATTTTTGCTTTTGTTGTCGCCAATCGTGGGAAAAGAGGACTCTACAGCATTGACAAAAAATAACTATTTGCTACTTACTATTAAACAAGCCAGCTTTTCTAACGTATTGTTCATGATTGTATCATTTGTTTTTTATAGAATTCGACTTACTCGAGCTTATTGGAGCAAAAATGATGGCGATGTTGTCATTGTTGATCATGATTTAGAAATGAGGAAACTCAAATGGGCTATTCCAATTATTATCGTCACCCCCCCCCCCCCCC